TAGTCTGGGTTGGAATCTGACACACATTAATTCTTCTTTGTTATGTTTTGTATATAAAAATCCATATATGAAGATTCCCAAACCATTCACTTTAAAGGGGGGGGGGGAGAGAAAAAATGAAATCCACATGCAATCAACAATACAAGATTTTTTTACACTACTTGCACCTGAGTTGAACAGCGGCAAAGACAAGGGAGATTCTGTCAGTGCAAGAGAATGATTCATGTGACCACTTTGTCTTAATTACTCAGAACAAGCAGTTTGTTGCTGGTTAGTGAAGACCCAACATATCAGTGTCCCTTGACAGAAAAAAAAATAGCCATCAGGATGGTGACGAAGATGATGATTGCCAGGATAACTATCAAAACCCGGTTTTGGATGATCCTGAAGAAAAACAGAAAAGAAAAAAACAACATAGTAAAAATCGCAGAATATTTGTAACACTATATAAAGGTGGACCTGCCTCAGACATATACCTTGTAGATAAGAGGGGTTTCCCACAGCTTCAGCTAAGCACCTCTAAAGACTATCACATACACTGGAATGCTTTTTATTTTTCTCTCTCAAGTTCTAATGTTTCTAAGTATTTCCTGATGCATCTATTAGAACTAATCCTTAATCCAAACAAATTAATAATTTGAACGCACAGCATATCAAAATCCACTTTTAACTTGTTTGAACAATTAAATAATAAATCCTGATGTAATCCAACCACAACGCAGGAGTCTATAATAAAAAAAAACACTATAAACTCTTAAATCATTATTGGAATATTTGCAATGTCTCTCTCATTTCCTAAGCAATTTGATAATTTTCAGGGGATCTTGCTATGAAGGCACAAGATTCCAAGGAAACATGTCAGTGAGGTACTTACTTACACCAAAATACCAAGGGAAAAGAATAAAAGATAGTTTTGAAGAAAAGGATGATATAAAGAATCAAGTGTCAAACTGTGAAGCTTATGTTATATAAGCCTCTCTATCTCTGTAGCATACATTCACTTATGGTAATAGGCAGATGTTACATTTACCATATAATAAAAATATGGATGTTAGTAATAATAAAAAGATGCTACAGGAACAAATACCTAATAGCATTTGACCATTTGTTGGGAACAACCCCTCTTATAAAAACAGAAACTGAATCACTTCAGATTCTACTTGAAATTAACTGGTGTTTTTAAAAAATATGATAATATTACATTATAGTCTCCATTGTTAAACTTGCATATGAATATATGTATACACATATATATTTATTCATATGCAAGTTTAACAATGGAGACTATAATTTGGATCCATCTGGCATAAGGCTTGGATTTTAAATATTTCATAATATGTCTTCCCCTTTCCACAGAAGCACAATATTTCCAGAAGCCCTTCCTGCAGCAGGAACTTTTGCAAAACATACTTGATCATCATCTGAATCAAATATAAATAGCAAAGAGGGAAAATCCCCACCTACCCTGTTCATTTTAGTTTTTTTGCTGGGTCAACTGAAAAAAAAAAGTGTATGTCTAACCAAAGAACAAACATGCACTAAAAAAGAGAAACAGCATGCTTAGTGATATGTTAAATACAAAGAGTTTGAAAGGGGGTGAAGATGTAGTTTGTTAAAGTAAGAGTATTTCACGAAGTAGGTAAGAGGAGAGTCAGAGAGCAGAGGGGAGTTTTCCTTGCTAAATGGTTTTTGTTTGAGCCTGAGTGGATACACATTGAGTATGTCCTGAAAAGTGCAAATATATAAGGATGCAAGTTTAATCAACTTCAACTCCCTCCTTCCTCACCCCCCACTTAAAAAAGCAAATGGATGGATGAAAACTGTCACATCAGACAAACACACTCCCCTGTGACACTCTAAAAGGACTAGCTCTCTATCCTCCTGACAGGTTACAAAATGATCACATTTGCTGACACGTCTTCCGCAAAACTGCTTTAGTGCTTGTGTCCACTTTCCTAGCAGGAGATGAATGGCCTGCTTTGTCCTCATTTATCACTTAACGCTGAACTAAGATCTGTCTCGTTTATTTTTCCCTTCCTCACTAGAAAGGCTCAACCACAGCATTAATTCTTTCGCAATGACAGCTAATTCAAACTTAACAGGCAATATTTACTCTTCCAAAGCGATGTTGGGGGCGCCGGGTGGGAGATTCTCACTGTTAAAAAAAGCCAAGTAAGAGTCTAACAAAATAAAACTAATTAAGGGATTTTGGTTCTCGCTGGTTTGCAGTTCAATTCAACACCTGAACGTACAGCTTCCCTTTATGGCAGGATAACAATCTCTCCAAAACACCTGATAACAAACGATTTGCCCAAGTGGATGCATGAAAACCAGACTATGTGTTTACTCAGTCACCCTCATCAGTCCTGAAAAGAAACTCAGCAGTGAAATAGATTAAAAGCATGAAAACTCTTAAAATATTCCGCCTTAAGTAATATACAGTACAGCTGGGTTGACAACCATTTTATTTGTGGGATGAGGGCTCCGAGGCATCCATAATGCTAATTTACAAAGGATTAACTGTGGGTGAAACTTGTTTAATCTAATGCATAGTTAGGCAAATGCATACACAATATACCGAATGCTTAAATTAGCTACTCCTATCTGGCCTAGTTAATAGGGTTTCATCATTTCAGGCTGAAAAAATAAATAAAAACGAGCCTTCCAAAAGTCTTCTAATTTTCCAACTGCACACCTGATTGCAAGATTACTTAATCTGCACCCGTCTCTCTAAAATCCTCCTTACATGGCCGCTGAGTTATGCATGCAGCCACCTGTATCTGCTAATTAAAGGTTCAGTTAACGTGTGAGTCTAGGAAATACATATCAAAGTTCAATTTCTAGGAATCTGAATTAGTCGGCCCTGTGCAGGGAAAAAAAAAGATGTTAAAAGGAACAATTTAATCATAAAATAGGATGGATGTTATCAAGATTCCTTCACTCAAACATTATATAGTTTTAATAACGAAGACTACAGTTAGAGAGTAATTTTACATCTTTTTTATTAAAAAATGCTGGGTTCTACTGTTTTGCTTTCAAATACATAAGGAAAATTAAACCAAGAGCAAAGTACCAGGAGGACAGGGTTGCAAAGAAAATTTGTGAAGAGTCGTTGCAGCATCAGGAAACAGTGCTGAAGTCTGATTCTAGTCACCATGGCTCAGACTGAGAATACAACTTCTGGGTGTCAGCATGTTTCAGAAATCTCAGAGGGGTAGCCATGTGAGTCTGTAACTTTAAAAACAACGGGTGGACCTGTGGCACCTTAGAGACTAACCAAAATATATAGGATCATGAGCTTTCGTGGTCAAACCCCACTTCCTCAGATGAACTGGAGTGGAAATAACAGCAACCAAGAGATATATATAACAGCCGAGTCAATAGGCAAGGGAAGTGCTTGAGAGTAAAGAAAAATGAAGTGGAAAGGAGGGTCTGAGTGATACCACAAGTCATGCCAGCTCAGAGTGGTGGAACAATGGTTGGCACTGGCAGGACCCATCTGCAGAGGAGCCTGGCGACACTGCCAGTGCGTATTGCTAAAGGCAACACTGCAAGGAATTTAAAGTGGGGGAGGGAATGATACTGCCAAAGGGGGGGAAACAGGGTTCAACATCCTCTGCGAAAACCCCAAAGGCTATAACATGTTAGCAGGGTAAAACGGATATTCTAACTTTTATCTCTCTTACCTTACACACAACTAAATGTGCTGAATGAGGAGCCCAGAGCCTTCTTTGAAAATGCAAAGCATGTTTACAGGGTAAATAATTTAAGAAAGAATATACACTTGAAAGAAGACACCCACTGAAACATCCATGTCTAAAATGCCTGAAGGCAAAAACTTGTGCATTTGCATGCTGCATTTTATTAAGTTAGCACACTGTCGTTTTAAAAGAATGCATGGCCAAATTAAGAGGAATGTGTGACTGAAACATCAAGGATTCTTCAAGTTTACATTATGAATCACAGTGCTGGTTCTCCTAGATGAATTAACCATTTACTTGATGTAGCTCATGAGCAAACTCCATTACTGTAGATCTGCATGTTTGAGTGAGTTACCAGCTGACTTCTGTGGTTTCATTGATACTTGAAACTATAAGAACCTGTGGCAATGACACACATTTGTTTTTAAAAAGTAGAAACTAAACTAAGTCTAATCCAGTGAAAAGGCAACTGGTTCCAAACAAAGATTTGAAATGACAGAGAAATTATTAGCTACAGTGTAATGGGACAGTAAATTGCTGGGGGATGTTTAAGGGAATGGAGGAACATCATGCTGTACAAACCAAGCTAGGATATTTGCACTTACAGTGAGACTGCTTCTGCCAAGTTTCTCACAACTCTGTTTTTGAATGGCCTGACCCTTTCCTGGGTTTGGTCACAATGCCTAACCTCTGAGCGAAAAGCCTCCTAGACAGGCTCCCTTCGGAGCCCATGCCCACTTTGTTCTGTGAGTTGATGAACGACGTAGCCAGCTTTCCATCCTAGAGGTCAAGAGCATCACCTCTGAGATGCACCCAATATCCGCTGGTCTGGCGAAGAAGCCCTGCCATCCATTTCCAAACACTGCTGCCTTCCGCACATCAGTACAACACACTCCCACCGTATTGCTTCATACGTTTTTTAAAAAAAATTCTCTCCTCGATATACCTACACAAACACACGCACAATGGCTCTAGCTCTGTTTGTGACATGTTTAGATCCACTCTGTATAAACCCAAAGCAGCTCCAGAATAAGCTATTGCAAACCTTACATTAAGGATGCCAACTGTGTTTAAACCTTTTTATAAAACTGCATTCATTAGCAAGGGAGTGCACGACATCTATATGGGTTCAGCCTGATGTCTTGCACATGCCTTAGTGCCTGATTGACCAGCACTGAATAATGATGCCTTGCCACTAAGCACTGATGATACAATAACAATTGTCATGAAAATTAGCAATCATGGGTAACAGATTACAAAATATGGAACACAAACGAGCCAGTGCAGACTCTGGATACATAAAGAATTGTGTGTGCCTAACCTGAAATAATGAAGACAACAAAACAAATCCGCTGGAACTTTTTTGCAGTAAGCTCAACTCTGACACTGTTACAAGTTAAAAAACAAAACAAAAAAACAGCTAGCACACATTCATTGCAACACAGGGCTGTATCTTGAAAGAAAAATCTTGAAAAACAGTATCCTCAAGAACACAGATTGATGATAAAGTCAGGGCATATAATTATGGGCCACTGTCTCACAGCATTTCATGATAATTCATGCATTTATAATGTAGCTGAAAGTGCTTCCTATGTGTTTTCTAGATGGACTATTGGAACACATTTTATATGGCTTGGTTGCACATGTCACCATTAAGTTTTTGGGTATCTAATTATAAGTGAT